AGTTAGAATTAACGAAATTACAGGGTGTCCCGTAAGCACATGATCAAAAGAGCACGGAAACATTCTTTGGCTCGACAGAGGCCGATCTGACTTAAGTTGCATTAAGAAAAAGCGTCTGGCTGCACTGCTATTGATGGTCAAAGTTCTTCAAAAAAAAATTATTTTTTGAAGGAAGATTGTGATTTTTTTCTATGTAAGACTTATGTCTTCAGGAAGCAATCGAGTTCATTCGCTTTGGACGAGTGGTCTTGGTGCGAAAACTACCCGAACACAAAAATCATTTCTTCCGGCAAAAATCAGGAATGCTACAAGATTTTATGAAGAGCGCAAAAATGTTCGAAAAGGATTAGTGCATCTCCCAAATAAAAAATTCTGTTTTGGTTTGTTTTTGTACCAAGACACTCAAGAATTCCTCACCTGCAAAACGGATAAACTCGAGTGATTCATAAAAACATGAGTTTTCCATAGAACCAAATTCACAGCGAGTTTCGTTAAAATCCCTCGTATAGTTTTCCTGGTATTTCAAAAAACTTATTTTTTTTAAGAACTTGGGAGTTTTTTCTGAACAAAAGTTAAATTAAAAATAATTATGCAGTATTCTTTTGATCATGTGCTCACGGGACTCACTGTATATAACTGTAGGTCTTCAGCGTAAATAATTATTTAGTAAAAACTGTTTCCTATTTTTGAGTAACGACTAAAATGTTTGTAGCGAAACGATGCTTATATTTCAATATCAATTTGTTACTATGCAAAAATGTTGGGAATGAAACAGCATTTTTTTAAAACAAAACATACATTATGGAATTTCTTAATTGCTTTTAATTTTGTTGATTTTCCCCAGTCGAGTTTGGAATATAACGTAATGAATATGGAGTTCAAAAGTCCGCTTACACATCCGCACATGCCATGGTCTATTGATGAAATGAACCGAAAACTGAGAAAAAAAGTTCAAATGTTTTTGAGCTTTGAGTTACTGTTTCACAGTTTGCAAAAACAAATAATCGACTTTTTTTTTAAATCGCTGTTCGCTTCGTTTTGGAACCGATTCAGCCATCAACTGACATGGAATGAGCCGCAAAATTCTTCTTAGAATAATTGCGGGTTTCTTAAAGAGATTAACAGTAAAACTGAGTACTTTTATGCGATTTGTCAGGAGGTTACTTACATTGACGAAAGAGTAAAACGGCAGCAACAAATTGCGCTGAGACTCGTTTAGCAGGGGAACTTCATTGGTCGGCACTTTGTAGTTCCATTCATCCTCAAAACTAAGCAAAGATGACCCATTAATGGGCACTTGCTCTAAAATAGAAAGTTCCTTGAAAATTCGAAAACAATTTTCACTTTTCACAAAGTTGCAATAAATTGGAGACAACGACAGGTTTTTTTGGAAATACGGTCGGGAGCGCTCCCATTATTACAGTAAAGTCCGCTTATAATGAACCCGGTTATAGTGAACTTTCGGTTAAAACGAACTTTTTCGTTTAATTGAAACGTCGTCCATAAAGACCAACGTATTTTTTTACTGGCACCTTCTTTTAAATACTGTCACTCTTAGTTGCCATGACGAAAGCGGCCATTTTTAATGCAATCAAATGCCAAAGGAATGCTGACAGCTGTCAGTTACCTTTGCCAGGGCAATTCAGTTATACAAATGAATATTATTTAAACTTACTTATTATTTATAAAGAATGTTATAAAGCTGTATCAAGAACATGTGCCACATTTGCCATTCGATATCCACAAAAACAGAAGCCTTCATGCTGTGCTGTTAAACAAATTATAGAAAATTTCAAGAATTTTGAATACGTCTTAATGCCAGTGATTGATATAATAATAATTAATGATACATAAACGGTTCTTGATA